AATGGTTTATCTCAGGTCTTAGGTGTTGTTTGAGATGACTCTCTCCCATGGGGTACTTTTTGGATTAGTAACCTGTCACTTGCAGGTATTTTGTTGAAGGGGACATACTAATCCCTGAATCACTGCTAAACCCCTCTGAGCTGTTGGAATTTCCATAGCACCAACCAGATTTCACTGAGGGTTCCTTGTATCCAAGTGTCAAACTTGAAAGGTTCTCAAACATTGAAACTTCACTAAGGTAGCTGCTAAGAAGACACTTTCCTTTCCCTATCAGAATACTAAGGGACTGAAAAGTTAGTAAAGCTAGAGCTCCTTTGTTTGAATAAAAGTCATGAGTACTGACCTTCACATTGCCAGTCCAACTTTCCCTTGGGGTATAGCATACCTAACCAGGCTTTGATCATGAGCAATTTCAAATCTCAGCTCAGATGGGTCAGAGCTGACATCAGAAAGGCCCAGCCCTGTAGAACATTGATGGGATGCATGATAAAGTGAAGTCAGTATGAAACTGCTCTTCCTTTTCAGTGACCTTTCCTAAGGCTGCCATGACCCCTTGAATTGTCTGTCGCAGCTGTCTGTGGTCAGCTCATTAGTGTGAGAGAAGTCGGGCTCTGAGCCACAGGAGTAAAAGGCAGGGTCCTGACACTAGCCCAGCCCTACGACTTTACTCCATCTCACGACCACAGACCACACTCACTGTGCCTCCTGACAGGCCAAACTGAGCCAGGAAACAAGGGACAAAAAAAGCGCAACCGTCCAGAAATCACATGAAGGGAACTATGCTCTTAGCCAGTGCTAGTAAGCTGGGAGCCTCAGCCATAAGTCCCAATCTGCCACTGTGCACTGAGCAAAATGCCAAAATGACCTCAGAAGGATTGCTTTGTTATGCCAGCCAGAGTGCAGTGTGGGCCTCAGGAACTTGCAAATAAATGCACAAAGTTCTACCAGGACTAGGAAATTACAGAGCCTGAATCCCACACTTTCCAAAGCCACTGAACTGGCCCAGCCTCCTGGCCAGGGTCCCCTTGATCCCAGACGTCTCTGCAGGGCCCTCACATCCTTGAACAGGGTTATGGTCACTTGATTCATGTGGTGCTCAAGAAGCCTAATACCCAGAGAAACTCCCCCTTGTAAATGCCCTTTCATCTTTCAATGCCTCCAGGAATATACTGCAATTTAAGTCCCCACTCTGCCACCTGGGAATACCTTCTAGTATCAGGTAAAATGCAAAATGCAAAAACCAAACACTTCCCCAGAGGTTACAGATATCCCTTAAACACGCACTGTGGCTACCTCCCAGGATACTTGATGTCTAGTTTCTCCACAACTTTTTCCCAAAATGGAATTTCTGCGGCCTTGCCAAAGGATGAAAGTCAAAAGGAATGAAACTGCAACTTCCTAATTGGCCCCAGATCCATTCTCTGTCTTTCTCCATCTCCTCCACTCTGCTGTGTGCCCCCAGGAGATTACTTTATGCACGGCATCATCTGTGCATGCCCACTGTCCTCTTCCCAGCTGGGTTCAGCCAGGCCTTCTTCAGGCAGGAGGTGAGGGGGTGTTGAAGGTCTGCTCCTTGTCAGCTCTTGACTTGGGCAATGGTTGTTTTCTCCTACACAGGACCATGGCTCTTCCCAGGGGCATCAGCACCGCACTGGCCTCACCAGCTTCAGGAATACCTCTTGACCCTTATCAGTGCAGGTGTAAGGATGGTAATGGCTTCTTAGAATTGCTGGTACCAGGGTGCCTCACCTTTAGTGTGGCATCTGTTAGACACCCACCACTGACAATCAGGATGCTAAATCCAAAGGAGCACCCAAACCAAAGTCCACTGAGCCAACATTCAAAGAGAGAACAAGTCCTAACAGCTAGTCCTGAAGTTAGGCCAGAAGGCCAGAATGTCAGAACCTAGAGAAGACAGGACCCAGCCCAGCCAGAAACAAACAAAAAAGAATTGCCAAAGGGGAATCACACTCATCTTTCTAACTAGCAGATATGAATTGTCTGTGTTAACCATTCTACCCCTAGAGCCTGTGATGTGAAAGATATGTACCTGGGCAGAGTCCAAAGAAGTCATCAGACTTTAAAGAGAACCTGGAATCCCAAAAGTAATCATTTCCAATGAATCTTAGAGTCCACTGGACTCTCAGCCTTCTCCTCTCAGCTCCCTTCTGGTATCTCAGCACTGACACAGATGTACCAAGAGGGTCATACACCCCAGCTCCATGGGGAGAGAAGTTCTCGTGTCCTGAGTTGTAGTTTTTATAAGAAAACGTATCAGTGACTTTCCCTTGCTGGAACAAAATAGCTGACACTCACAGCTTAAAGGGGAGAAGTTTCAGTGAGTTCAGTCACGGTCATCTGCTTCCAAAGCAAAAACTGGATGGTGTCAGGATATGGAAGAGAAAAGCTATGGCAGACAGCAGCAAAAGGAAGGGAGAAGCATGGAAAAGACACATCCTTCCAGGTCACATGCTCAGTGACCCACCTCCTCCAGCCGCCCCCACCTCTGAACAGCATATTCAGCTATGAACTCATCAGTGAATTAATCCACTGATGAATACAGTCTCCCCATGATCCAATCCTCTCATGTCCTACCTCTCTTGCAGGACAGTTTAGATCTAGATCCTAACAAAACCGTAATCACAAGTTTAGTCTTTTCCAAGAGTTATGTAAGTCATCTAGGAAAATTACTGAACTTGAGGTTATAGAAAGCTTGAACTTATAGCCAAGCAAAACAGAAATGTGGATGGCACAGGACTTTTACCTGGCATTTTGTGGACTGGGCCCCCTCACCTGTGAGGCCTCTGTTGATTCCAGGTTAAGTACTGTATGTCAGAATTGAATAGAACCCCCAATCCATGTTGGGAAATTGGTGATGGGGTATCATGCTAGACAGAGGTTGGGAATCTGGGGAAGAGAACAAGAAGAGTCCTACTTCGTGCTGAATCCTCCCAGCAGACAGCTGTGATTGTTTGGAACACTGCTTAGAGATTGTTAATATGTGTGTGTTGTTTTGAAGAGTAGGGCCTCTTAGAGAGCTGGGAAGTGTTGGAACTAAGACATATTAAATATTAAAGGCTCTGCAGAATAGCGACTTTCAGAGCTGGCAGCTGCTGAAACTGGAGCAGAGGAGAAACAGAGAGCTACTCTTAGCAAGGAAGCCTGGCAAGAGAAGGGAGCTGGCATCTGATGGCATCTCGGGGTAAGGTGGGAGAAGCAGAGGCACGGGGACTGATGGAAACGAGCTCTCTAGCGAGGACTTCTCTGTGGCTTGGAAGGACCAAGGAAAGTGTGACGAGTACTCCTGGCCTGAGCAGTTTGTGGCTTTTCTTGGCAAGCCTACTGCACACCAGTCTCCAGAGTGGGCGTGAAGAAGTCAAGAAGAAAAGGCCATGTGTGTGTTTAGAGTGTGCGGATGCTGGAGACGGGAAATGTGTGAGAGCACCTAACAGTCAATCTCTGTCTCTCTCTCGCATCTTTCACAAAAATTAACTTAAGGGTGATATAAGCTAAATATGTGGGTTCCTACATAATATAGAAAGCAGAAAAATATCATGGACTTACGGTAGAAAAGTATTTGTTAGGATGAGAAAATATCCTAAGCAAAAAAAGAAAAAAAGTGTATGTTGCTCTTTAGTGAAATTAAAAACTTCAGAATGAAATGAAGCACACTGCGTCCTGGCCAGCAGGTGGACCTGGATTCTCCTAAGCACAGCAGCGGACAAGGTCAAGAGTTTATTACCAGATACAGACATGCCAAACTGATCTAACCAGATGAGTATTAACTGTTCTTTTCTAAGAACAACCTTTTTGAAGGTTAACAATATGCAATATTACAACCATTGTTAACTTCCTATCTATACTGTTATTGTTTTGGGTTTGTTATTGTTTGCCTTTTGCTTTTTTTCTCTTAAATAAAATTTTAAAAATAAAAAGTTTGTGAGGGAGAACCAAGCCCAATAACTGATACTCAGCTACCCCATGGGATGAGAGGCATCATTCTTATTTTCAAGGTGGAGGCAGCTCCAAGTGGGAACTGTGTACCCCACTCCAAAGCCAATCACTGTGACACCGGGCAGAAATCCCTTAGACTGTGCGATGCATCCTGCTCTGTGTGCCCTCAGCGTTGCCCAAGTGTGGTCATGGAGCTCTCAGAACATTTGCCGGCCCTCTCCCATTTCCCCCAAGTCCTCCCCCTGCAAGTCCTCCCAGAGCCCCCGCTGTTCCGCTGTCCTTCACTGCTTCACAAGGAGCTGTGTCCTTCCATGGGTGCTCATTTTCCCTTTTATGCCTGGTGCCTTCCCTTCTCCAAGAAGACGCCCCTGTCAGCCTTTCTTCAGGGGCTTCTCCCTAGAACATCCTGTGTGCCCCTCCCCTCCAGACATGAGTTCCTATGGCCAGGCATCCTGGAGCTGCTGGCTGGAATTCCTTCTCATTAAAGAGCTCCCGTTTAAACACACATCAGGGTGGCTAACAGCTTTCCTGCTCTTTTGCAGTGACTGTCCTAAACCTCAAGCAGAGTGTAGGCTCTGGAAAGGAAAAGAGACAGCTCTCTGCAGGCCCACAGAAAAGCGCGGCATTAGTGAGGACCATCCATTTCTCTGCTGGGCAAGAGCACAAGTGCCCACCTGCATGCAATCCTGAAGATGGGGATCGTGGGGTGACCGCACAGCTACTGATGATTACAGAGCTGACTCACTACATGCCGGCTGTATACATTCATCCCTCCTCTTGGGATGCAGGCTGGAAGAGGAGGCTATTGTATATGCACAGGACAAACTAAGAGACCAAAAGCCCTCTGTGTTTAAGGAGGGCTTAATGCCGTGTTGAAATTATAGCCTCTTTCTAAAGCTTGTTACAGAGTCCTCTACAAAGCGTATTAAAACACACACACCCACACACAGAGACACACAGACACACACACACACACACAGCCCTCTCAATTTCTCTCATTCTCCCCACCACTCACGCTGGAAGAAAAGCAAGTCTTCAAAACCACATTCAAATCAAGTGGTAGGTTTATTGTGTCTCTGTTGTACAGTAGGTGAAAATACCTCAATTTAATACATTCTAAGCCTTGTTTTGGTTTCCTGTCACACTGAAAGACCCATGTCAGGCACAAGAGTCAGCAACCAGTAGAGAAGGGAGCGAGCTGCCGCCGCCCCTGTCTACCAGATTCATCCACAGGCGAAAGGACCGCTTTGCTCCTTCATAGCATCTTCCTCTTTTCAAATTCCTTCAGAAACAAAGGAAAGGGATAAGAAGGGAGAGGAAAAGAAAAGATCCAAATTATATTTACAATCAAAATGATTCTGACACCTATCGTCTCTAAGATAATCACAGAAGGAAGATGTGCCAGGACGAGGGTACACATAATAACAGCCTTCAAATCAGTCTAGGTCAGCTCACCAAGTTAGACACACGGCTTCAACCCTCGGTCTCCTAAAGCCCAAGGCTGAGCGACACTGAGTAACTCTTACTTCTTTCACGGCAGCATTATTACCAGCAGGTGCCACACTGCTCTGTGTTTACCCAAATGTGCGATGCTTGGAGGTAGGTGAACCACAAACACGCTCTGCGGCAAGGCAGTGGAAATGGTTTGCTCACCTTCTCAGAGAATAAAACTAAACATAGATTCCATTAGAATTTGACGCAAGAATGTTAGAAATCCTCGGAACAAACGAATACATTAAACAATACTGAAGATCATTCTTGTCTTGACTGTAGCAATCAGCACAGGACTGAACGCACAGGCACCTGCTGCCACTCGCTGGAGCGGAATGGTAAGGCAGGTCTCCGGCAGGGACGTAAGCGTTTGCTTTTCCTCTTCCTCCACACTCGAATTAAATTCTTCACACATTTTATTAAATACTTAAACTTCTTTCAAATACCACGACACATAGTATTATATACCAAAAGATAGAATGTGCACAGATTCAATTAAACAAGAAGCCCACTTTATTATCCCTAAGACAAGAACAAAGATTATATCAAGTTGGGATTTTTTTTTTCATTTTCTCTGAACAGTTAGTTCCCTCTGGAAAAGCAATTTTGCCTACTTGCACCTGGCTAAGAGGCAGGGTTTTCAGTAGTGTTGTTTTGTTTGCTTTGTCTTTTTGTTATTGTTGTTGTTTTGTCACAAGTACTTTAAACCACAGTAGCCTATTTTAAGGAAAAAGTTGCACCTCCAGCCTGTAAGCACCAATGCATCACAGCACGGCTAAGGCCAAATCTTCCTACCCCCTCTCTAGAATTTCCTCCATCCCAAACGCCTCATCATACAGATTTTGTTGCTTTTCACTCAGACTCCAGTCTGTCTACCTGGAACTAGAAACCTACGGGGTCAGCGTGGCTATATTCCAAAGACCTCCCACAGGAAAAAACAACACGAGAAGCAACACAGGCAGTTCTCTGTGCATATGTGTGCACACGTGCGCATGTACACACACACAGACTTACACCTCAAACTGGAAAGTGTGGCATTTATGGTCACCAGAATGCTAGTGTCTCATACATTGGCCACTTAGAGAAAAATAAACACCAATGCTTAAAGAAGCAAGTTTTAAAATCAGAAAGTTGTTAAATTAGGCCCTTATAACATTAATGGAATACTGTAAGAGTATTAAGCTAAGCCATCAGAATGAAATGAAACAACCAAGACCCAAGAGAACAGATCACGCTGTCCAGGCAGCCAGCGCCCCCCACACTCAGAAGCCCCCAAACCCACGGCGCTGGGCAGTGGCTAACACTCACCTTGTAGATGGTGGTTCCCAGCTGCGCAGGGGACATGCTGATCACGACTCCTGCGCTCTGAAGGGCAGCAATCTTCTCCTTAGCTCCCCCTTTTCCTCCAGCAATAATGGCCCCTGCGTGACCCATTCTTCTCCCAGGAGGAGCAGTTAGACCAGCAATGAAGGACACCACAGGCTTGGCATTTGGACCCTGGAGACAAAGTGCTATTTTAAACACTGTAATGAAGAAGCCAATCAAAAGTGGACCTCAAATCCATGACTCCAATGTAAATGGCCCATAAATGGTTTGCACAGATAAAACCCATCAGTCATCCTTAAAAAAAACCAAGACAAATATTAAACTGTGACTAACACCACTGCACTCTCCTTTGAGATGTATCACTTTGCATACAAACTCAGGAAAACAATCCCGAGCATATTTTTATAGCCACTGAGTATCAGACACTTCGCTGGCACAAGCTGTTTTGCAAATACCCATGTGAATCTTTCATTTGAAACACAACAAAGCACACTTGAAATTTTACATGACTTGTGATAATGACTTAAAATTCAAGGCCAGATTATTTTACTTCAACCTGCGTTTATGTTTCAGTCATTATTAATTCTTCCTGGAGTGGTGCGATGACTTGGTTTGCAATAACTGACACTGCAAGTGCTGGCCAGGGCCTGTCACTTCTCTAGACCTCTGCTTCCTTACCGATGAATGGGAACGGCTGCCCTCAACTGACAGCAAAAGCCTCCCCATGCTGAAATCCTATGGTGTCCAAGGAGGAAGAGAAGAATTGGTTTTATTCTGCAAATTCCAATTCAATGTGTGACTTCTAATATCCATAAATACCAAAGAAACTTTTTTAAAAACTGTGTACAAGGGGCTGGGGGTTTAGCTCAGCGGCATAAGCGCCTGCCTTGCAAGTAGGCCGTCATGAGTTCGATCCCTGGTACTGATAAAAAGAAAAAAGACAAATAAGAAAAAAAAAACTGTGTACAAAATTTAAGAATTTCTGTGCTGTGGACTTTAAATGTAGCTGAATAAGTAGCAAGAAGGACATTCACCAATCAACAGTCAAGAGTTCCCATACAGCAATACATGAACATACGGTTAAGCTTCACAATGCATGATACTGCCATGCCCCTAAGGGCCCCGAAGTACTCAGGGACCTAGGTAAAAGGAAGGCCTGCAGAGGGCGGAGCAGCACAGCGGAACATGCTCCAGAGCTGCATCCGGACACCCGCTACCTTTCCCTCAATGAGCACTTCTCAGATCCCTCACACTTACAAAAATGGCTGAGAACTTCAAAGTTTCTGTTTATACACACAATAAAAATCTATTCCAATGCATAAACCTTTTGTAGCTAATGATAACGATTAGAAATCAAAGCTGGCTTTTATAAATTCTTGCTTATTCATTCTTTAAGACTGGAGAAGGGTTGAGGATATGGGCAAGGGGGAAGGAGGAACACAAAAGTTGAGAAGAGGGGGCTGGGGATTTAGCTCAGTTGCGTAAGTGCCTGCCATGCAAACACATGGTCCTGAGTGTGATCCCTGGTACCAAAAAAAAAAAAAAGGTGAAGAGGAAGGGGGTAAAAATGAGGACAATGTGATATGTGTATGTACCAATACCACAAGTTGAATATAACCATTATGCATCATAAACACATAGTAAAAAATAACTTATTAAATAGCATTTTAAAATATCTTAGTGAAAAGAGTAGCATTATACATTTAATTTTTGTAACTCTTGACTCTTTAACTTAATGTCAAATGATAACTACTTTTAAATTCAAAATTCAATCTGTTGCAATATTTTATTTTAGCTAAAATATACAAAGAAAACCTGGCCTCAGACAGATACAAAATTTTAATATGGAAAAGTATTTCAGTTGCCTTATAGATAACTGTGGATATTCTTTGATACCACACAAATCTCCTAAAGTAGTAATTTCTTACTACTTGAAGAAATTTCTTAAATATTAGGTGCCGTGCTAGGATCCGAAATCACAGCAATGAACTTTTGGTCCTTTCTTACTCTGAAATCTACTAGTCTGTCTTATATTTTAAATGGCTCTTCTAATCATGATGATTTTGTAACATGCACAGAGAAACTGGAAAATACCAGTTCCCTGAGTTATACAGATCTTCCAAATGCTGACACATCAGTACCAACAGATGTATCCACACTCAGTATCAACAGATCAGTCATCAGAATCGCCAATCTCATTTAAAGACTTTTTTCTAGGAGGAAGTTTTTCAGAGCCCCCAGTGAGAGAAGTTTCTGAAAACTTTAATATCCATTTGAAAGCTCAATTTTTATCATTAGCAAAAAATATTATCAGATGCCTTCCTTCATACAGCAAGTTTGCCTTGGTCTTTTGCAAAGAAGGTCTGTAAAGTACCCAAAGCTGAAGGACCAGTTTTTCTACCAATCATTCCTAATAAAACTGTTGCTCCACAAAAAAGCTCACAACTCAGTTGTGAGGTGTTTTATTTTCCCTCTCACCACAAAACACTGACCCAAGAATGAAGATTTAATAAAACTGTAATTCTCACTTCTTCAGCAAAAACAAAAACATTCACAAGAGAAACTGACTGTTTGCTGTGAGCGCCTGGCAGTGCCCGAGTACCAGCCCCACAGCTGGCTCTGCAGCCCTGGCTCAGGAGGTGCTGCGCGGCTCACGCGGCTTTCCAGGGCTCCGGGCTCCCCGGCTTCTGTGCCTTTGCTGATACCTCACCAGCTTTTACTTTGTTTTTAAAACCTGACTTGAGCCCCTTCTTCCAAAGCCTTTCCTGATTCTTCCTCCCACATGCTCAGGAATGAAGCTAATTATCTCTCTGCGAACCTGCTGTGCTTTTTACTTTCCTAACGTTATAATCAGCACACTGGCTGTGACCTGTTTCCATGTGCCCCTCTAAACAACAGGTTCCCTGAACACAGGGACCACGCTCTGAATGCCTACCTGCAGTACCACGGCACAGAATTAAGGAAAGACTCCAGTCATTTGTTCACTTGCCTGCGATCTCTACACAGAGAGACTCTTGTATTTGAGTGGTCTTAATTCCATGCGATCTTCCTTCACAACCCTCCAAAAGTGAAAACACTGTTATACTAGGAACAAGAGTACGATGAGCCTAATATGTCAAACAAATTTACAACACATGCCACTGACAAAAAGAGTCAGCAGAGGGTTAGTGGACTAGAGAGAAGTGCAGTATGAAAACAAGACATTAAGTGAGGGGCAAAATAAAAGCCTAAAAACAGAGAGAGCCACGGGAATAGTCTCAGTCTAACCGGGCTTGCTCTGCCCAGGACCGAGACTCGCTCCTCCGCCCTGCAGTGCTGCACACGGCTTCTCCTCTGGCTAACGGAGAAGACATGCATGAACCCCACTTCTGTTCCTGTGCCGCACACCACCACTGGCTAGTTATTAACCTTCCTGCCTGTTTCTTCACCTTATTCAAAAAATCAAGGTAAATATTAAACCACACAACTTTCACAAATAACCACTGTCACAACAGCAGCAGTGATGGCAGTAGGTAACATCAACTGAGGGTTTATTCCACGGCAAGCATTGTGCGGAGTGTTGTAGGTATCCGGTCCTCTGAGCGGCTGTGTCTCCAATCTGTGTACAGCAGATTCTCAATAAAAATGAGTTCCGCAAGAACTAACCAAGAATAAGAATACATGCCAAATGAAAGAGAATGTATACACTTAGTTTCTCCCCTAAACTCAGGGGGTTCAGTGTTGGGCCTATATACATTCCAATATTCACTTTAACTGTATGATGTCACGTTAAATTAAATCTCTTTTTCTAAAAAGAAGTCAGTTTTTACTTAAATCTCAAACTATAGCTCTCTGAATGCAAGACAATCTAATAACATTTTACTCCAATCTCCTGACCATCTGCTTTATCCTTTCATTTATTTGATATTCATCAGTGCTTCCCTTCCAGGGGCCAGGCGGAGGACCACAACTGCCAGCCTCCCGCCATCCACACACGGCCGAGGCCGAGAGTCAGACATTAAGCAGACCTTGTAGAAAGAAGCAAGGCTGAGGCAAATGAGAACGAAAACTGGCATTTCAGGCGGGGCGGAGGTCTGCAAAGGGCAGGGTGGCAGGAGGACTGGGGCACCATGGCCAAGCCGGCCTTCACTCAGCACGCAGTGGGAAACACTGCCTGGTTGTAAACGGAGCCCAAAGGCACTGGTTGGTGCCTGTTTCAGAAGGGCAAATACGCAGGGCGGCCTGAAAGAGAAGGGCACGACAGGGGAAAGAGCAGCCGGCAGAGAGGACACTATGGAGTGGTCCGTGGGAGGGAAGACCAGGCCTGTACACGGCGGGGAAGTCACTGCAGGTGAGGCTGGGTCTAGACACACCACTGAGGCCCCAGGGACAGCGCTTAGTGAGTGGAAACATGTGATGAGGCAGAAATAAAGGAAACTACCCAAGTATGCTGCTGGTTACATCAGGCAATCGTTCACATTTCAGGAACAGGCATATACGATAGATCCAGGGGAGGATGAAGGGGAAGGAAGGCAGAAGCAAAACCAAGAGGACTTCAAGGGGAGCGTGAGGGCTGAGGAACAGCAGGACCCCTGTAAAAACAGTAGCAGTGCAGTCAGACTCAACAGCAGCAAACAGCTCAGTTACCACGTGCCGGGATTACTTCCTTACATGTTATTCAGTGATTTAAATTCACAGCCCTTGCCACGTGCCAGGGTGGCACTACTGCATCCTCACTGTGCCAGTGAAGAAACTGGAATGGCAAGATCAAAACAATGCGCAAGGTCACATAGCTTCTAAATGGCAGACGGAAGCGGACAACAGAAAATTGCAGAGTGAATGACAAACAAGGAAAGTGACCCAGAAGAGAAAGGAAAACTGAGTCACAGCTTACAGCAGAGGTAGGGCTTAAGATCATCCCAGGAGAAAACATACTCAACATAGTCCTGAAAAGTCATTACAACACAAATGGGGAATAGTTTTATGCATACCAGTCTGTAAGCGACAATGCTGCTCCCTTTAACAATCTCATGTCCATTATTTTTTGGTGGCATTTAATTCATTCATTCCTCAGTTCCTCAAAAAGCTGGGACTGGAAGCCCCATTTGACTCAGCTATTCTACTTCTGGGCATATTCCCAGAAGAACTGAAAGCATCATATCCCAGTGATATATGTGTACTTGTGTTTATAGCAGTACAATTTGTAATAGCCAGATCTTGGAAACAAACTAAGTGTCCATTAATTGAGGAATGGATAAAAAAGTTGTGGTATTTTTATATAATGGAGTACTACTCAGCTATAAAGAAGGATCACATTGAGATATTTATAAATAAATGGATGCAACTTGAGACCATACTCATAAGTGAAATAAATCAAACCCACAAGAATAAATACCATATTGCCTCCCTACTATAAGAAATAATAAGAGTACATAAGATACAAAATTCTCAATAAATACAGTGAAAGGGTAAGAATCTTCTCAAAGGGGAAAAAATATCTTAGGGAAAAGCACGAAAAAGAAAAAGGGAAAAGAAAAACATCTGAATTTGTATAAACACACTTAGGATAGCCAAGATGATCATGCTACAAGTTCTGTAAGTTCACAGAACAAAACAGTTAATATTCATAGGATTGGAACAATTTTGCATGTTTATGTCAGGTGACCTGATGAGCTCTTGAAGATCACTATGTAAAATATCAACCTTAGTTCTGTTCCTGCCACTGTGTTTTGAAGGTCTCTATCATTATTGTTTTGGGCTCTTTGCTATTGTTATATGTCTTTTTTTTGTTTCTTATTTTTCTAGTAATCTTTTGCTTTCTTTTGTTTTGTTTTTCACTCTAATGCAGAAAGGATAAGTATACATGTAGAGGCTTATGCATGCCTAGAACTTCTAAACATTATGAGAACTGATTACATTATGTGTGATGAAATGAAGCTACTTTTGAAGAAAAACAGACATTATGGTATCCATTGCTGATTTCATATCATCATGCTGTGAAATCCAATAATGCTTCTATTCTTTGTTCAGAGTGGCTTAAGTGTGTTTTGTAACAATTTCACATGAAGGTATGGACACCTATTTTAAAGAGAACAAGAAACATTATGGCAGCCATTTTTAATTTTCCTACTGTCTGGTTTTGAAGGCCTGTAATGCCTTCATTACCCTGCTATGATCAGTTTTATACTATTTTGTTTTGTATGAATTTGTTGTATGTGAAGACACAGACAACCATTAAAAAAAAACAAAAGACATTATGGTAGCCACTGTCAATCTCCTGTTGTCTTTTTTTGAAATCTGTGTCACTTACATTGTTTTCTTCTGACCTGCTTTGTTTTGTTTTGTTACATTTAGTTTTATTCTTTTAAAAAAATTAAATTAAAATAAAGAATTCACTCACTTCTCATTTTTTTCATATGCATTAAGAGACAGTTATTCCCATTTGTGGGCCTGGCCTTCTCAAGACGGTCTGTCACTCACCGTGTGTGTCAGAGAAACTCCGGAAATCCCCTGCATGCTTCCCCCTCGGCTCCCAGACACAGCCAAGGCCCCGGCGCCCAGAGCAGGGGCCGTGGGGCTGCCAGCTGCCTGCGTCACCACTGCGCCTCTTCGCTCTCCCACCACCTGCTTCTCCCTGAAAACCGAGTTCAGTTCCCTTTGGCTAAATGCAATGAGGACACAACTCCACACCACGCCTTTACATATTTAACTCCAGGCAGAGGTGACTGGGAAGCCTTCACAGCACAGGGACAGTAAAGCCTTTCTACTTGGTCTTTGACAGGGAAAGCCGTTCTATGAGGACAGACAGAAGCTGGAGGGACGCAAGCGCCTGGCAAAGGATCTAAAGGACAGACCTTTACAAGGTCAGTCTCAGGGAAAGAGCACTCGCCTCTCCTGCAGCGTGAGGGAAGAACATCGGAAGTTTTAAAAAAGGAAAAAGCGTGAGTCTGGAGGTCTTGAATCAGGCCGGGCTGTTGGGCTGACAGCCTGAGTGTTCCCCACGCAGGAGGCCAGCGCATTACCACAAAGCACCTGTGAGGAGGCTCAGAGTAGAGAAACAGCAGCGCACTGTGCCAAAGAGGAAGGAAAATCAACCCACCAGAGTCCACAGTTTTCGGAGTGTCCAGTGTGGAAGGCCCAGCTAAGAAAAAGGTTTGGTTATCTTTCAAGTTTTCTTTGAAAACAATTAAGGCAAGTTCTAAAACAAGAGCAAAGAGCTGTATTTTTCCAAACCCAACTTACGGAGTTATGTTGCTTCAAAAATTCTGCAGCATTTTCTTCTGCATTGCCACCAATTTCACCAATCAATATGATGCCTTCTGTGCCTGAGTCTCTCAGAAAGATGTCAAGGCAGTCGATAAAATCTGTTCCATTGAAAGGGTCACCTCCAATGCCTGAAAAGGTCCAAGAACACCAACGTCAGCTGAAACTGCAAGGATGAGCCGTGGTAAATAAGTCTAGAAATGCTCCAAGTGGTTTCTTATTTTGCCTACCCTTATCCTTCATCTTTTTAAAGGTATCATCACTTTTCACTTAACATTCAAACATTACAAAATGCTACATTTACTTTTGTCTGCATGTATGAACACAAATGGTTTCTTATCTGCAGATAAAAAAAACAAACCCTTTGTGTTATGACCCTTCACATCACAACAAACCTCTTCCCCTCACAAACCACAGGGATTAAGGTTCGTGAGTACATGCTGGCATTACATGCGTATGCTCCTTGTGTGGAGCTGATCCTGGCACTAACTTTCTCATCCCTTTTCCCGCCCCTCCCGCCTCCCTTCACCCTGTTCCCCTTTGAGAACCATCTATCTCTTCACTTCTAATTATCTACTTTTATTTTACTCTGGATTCCTAATACAAGAGGGCTATGCAACATTTACACTATGTGTCTGATTCATTTCACTTAACATTACAGTCTCAAGGTGCATCCATTTTCCTAAAAATAACTCAAGTTCATCTTTCTTTATGGCAGAATAGTACTCCATTGTGCATAAATACCCCGTTTTCTTTATCTATTCATCTGCTGATGGATATAGAGGCTGTTTCCAAAATTTAGCTTTTCTGAGTTGTGCTGCTACAGACTTTTTAGAAATGAGGATTTGTGTTGCAAACTAATATTGTACCACAGGGAAAAAAATCAAACACTACAAAATTTTTTGCACAAAGAAAATCTTCTTTGATACAGAGAAACCACTCACAAGTTTTAAGACACAATTGTCAGTAAGTGACAGGGTAGACAGTATACAGCCCCTCTTCCTGTGGATCCAGAGTGGGCGACAAACCTGCCTATGGAGGCTCTCACAAGCACAAGAGCCTTCAGAACAGGCAGCTGGATGGGTTCAAGTAAATGAACACGGTGGAGCACACCTGTAATCCCAGCATTCAGGATGCAGAGGCAGGAGGATCACTCAGCTTAAGGCCAGCCTGGGCTACAAAGTGAGTTCAAGACCAGCCTGAACTGCATAGCGAAACCCTGCCTCTAAAAGACAAAACAAACAAACCAAAATATTCCCTACAGTCTAGCACTCATTGTTTATTTTTAAAGTATAACTTATTGATGCCAGGAATGATTTCTTACTCTCCAATGCATCAGTCAAAAATGAAGTTGCAGAAAAGAACTAGCATTCATTAAGTGTCAAGCACGCACCAAACTCCTGGCTTTCTTTAGTGTTAGCCATGTCCTCTGCTGACTCCCTCACCCGCTCTGTGAGACGTGCACTACTTCCCGCTGATTATAAACTTACAATTGAATTTGGAGGGGATGGAACTGGAAAATCTGTTTCACAACTTGTTACTCTCTCCTCATCACACTAAATTAAATTTTGCCTAAGATCCTCTATGCTTTGCAAACAGAAAAGTTATATCAGTATTTTAAATTTCAATTTATGGATAGTCTAGGATTATAATTTATAATTTATTACAAAAATTTATGAAAGACTTTTAAAAGGTATTCTAAGGAATTTAAGAAATACAAAAACTAGAAATGCACCTGGCATTTGGCAAGAAAGACTGGATTTTAAAATATAAAAACATACTGGACTTGGTACCTTTAGGGTGGGAGGCAATTGGTCCAGTAAGAAGAAAGGTCCTAGGGAAGACGACCCTCCTCAACCTCAGCTTTCTGCCACCACAGTACCACTAGTCAGCTCAAAAGTGCCTGGAAGCATTGCTTTAAGAATGAAACAGCAGGACGAGGTGGCGCACATCTGTAATCCCAGCACTCTGGGAGGCTCAGGCACAAAGACGGCAAGTTCAAGCAGACCCCGGCAAGTTAGTAACTTAGCAAGACCAGGCTCAAATAAAATAGCGCAGGGGGTACACTTCAGTGTGGAGGCCCTGGGTTCAATGCCCAGTGCCACAAAAAACAAAGATGAGATAGTAAGTGGCAAAGAATTCAGTAACTATGAAGCAGTGAATATAATTACTTTAGCAAAGGTCCTAAAATAAGGAACCATTTCTTCACAGCAAAAAAATGAAGTGATGTCTCCAGTCACTGAGGATGTTCAGAAGCCACAATTCCCAGGACATTTGTTCTTCAAACTAAAAATTAAAGCTCAGACCATGAATCTTAAAAGACAACATGTAGAACTTCACATTTAAGCAAATTAAGTTTGAGACTATGTCTTTTTAATAAAATGGTATCAAAATCTCTTATAAATAATCCAATCAATAGTTATCACTCTAATCACTCAGTGAAAATACTATACTCCACAGAAAATGATTTTAGCAAGAACTGCTCACCAACACACAAAGACTGTCCCAGTCCAACTTGTGTTGTCTGATGAACTGCTTCATACGTCAGGGTGCCTGACCTGGAGACAATACCTTAAAGAAACAGCACCAAAAACATCAGATTGGATTTCTATGACAGACTGTAATATGGCAAACTAAGGCACAAAAATTCTGAGTAACTAAAGTGAGTGTATATAAAATTCATTCCATGATTTGCCATCCAGATCACTGTACTTTCAAAAAACAGAAGAAAAGGCTTAAAGTAGGGAAGTTTTCAAGATGAGATGGAGACAAAAGTGCATTATTAGCTAAAGTTATTTTATGAATAGAAAAGCAATGCAAGGAAAACCTATATTGCTTCTTCTGGAAATCAGTATGCTTTCCTACCTTTCTATATTTGTTCTGCTTAAAATAGAGTGCCTGACCTCCACCATCACCATCCTTACAGGTTCACATCAAAAGCTTCAATGCTACCTTCTCTTACAGGTCTTTCCTGATCATACCCAAACAATAAGGAGATAGAATCTTTTAGCCATTTTTATTTTACAAAATAGCACATCAAGTTTTTTACCCATTAATTTTTAGGAGACGCCATTTCACTGTCGATAGTATAGCTAAATTTAAAAAGATTGAAAATAATAAATATAAAGATAGGAAGGAACTGTAACACCCATACTTAACGGTATGAACGTAAAATGACACAGCCACTTCACAGTTTCTTCAAAAGCTGAACACGCTCCACCTTATGACTTACTAATTTTCTCCCTCAGTACTCTGCTCAACAGAAATGAAAACACGTCCATAAAAAGGTCTGCACTCAAGCATTCATCCTAGCTCTGTTCCTAAGGCTCACACCTGGAAACAACTCAAATGTTCAGAGAGAAAAATGGATAAACTGCAGGTAAACCAGGTGACAGAACACTACTTAGCAATAACATGAAATTAGCCGTGACACACACAAACATAGGGAAGATTCCAGAGTGCTAAGTAGATAAAAACAAATCTATGCTTTAAAAACCTCTAAAATCTTCACTATGTGAAATTATTATACAATTGTTATACAATTACACAGAACTGTTTCACTATAAAACTTTGGTAAGTTTTACTGAAGTGATTTGTAGTAACAAAACCTCTATGGGTTGTGCAAGTTTGGAGCAAAGAATTTCTTTTAGGGCCAGAGATTTAGCTCAGTGGCAAAAGCACCAGCCTGGCAAGTACAAGGTTGTGAGTTTGGTACCAAAAATAATAATAATTTCTTTTAAACCTGTAAGAAAGTAACAAATACACTCACCAACTCTTCCTTTCTTGTGAATATGGCCAGGCATGATGCCAATTTTGCATTCTCCAGGCTGAAAGGAAGTAAACGATAGTTGTGGAAAGGTTTTAAGTAAGTTGGAACTCATGGTTCATACACACAACACGGCCAGACTAAGTCAAAGCTGCTGAGCCCTGCCAGGGCTAAGTGTGGGCTTCCTGTTACTTTCACACTCACGTTGATGACTCCGGGGCAGTTGGGGCCGATGAGCCTCGTCTTTCCCTGGCGGAGCAGCTTGTGCTTGACCCGTACCATGTCCTGCTGCGGGATACCTTCCGTGATGCACACGACCAAGGACATTTCTGCCTCAACAGCTTCGTCGATGGCAGCAGCAGCAAAAGGAGGAGGGACATAAATGACAGAGGCTGTCGCTCCTGTCTGCTCTTTGGCCTGCAACATTAACCATAAAGCATAAAGCATTTTATGATTGGATAAGTCATCAACAATGCAAAACAAGTTTAACACCATGATTTTATTAATGTCTAGGGGTCAGAAAAGACACCACCGAGTGACGTAGGATGGCTTCATTCTTTACATTCTCCAGATCACCACAGTCAGAAAAGAATAGAATCAAGCACAGCCTCTCTGCCCGCTGTGAATGCCCCTGTGAACTGAAAGGCTCTGTGACACTGCAAACGATGACAAGTCAGTAAACCAGAAAGCACTGCTTGACCTGCACTTGCGTCCCTCCGTTCCTATGGCCGTGCTCAGTTTCCTTGGTCTGCTCTAGACGCATGCAGACAGATGCTGCAGCACCTGCCTAGTATCAACGCCCACACCTCCTGAGAGCAGGACTGGTGAGCCCCTCAGGGCTTAGAACTCAGCTGTCAAACATCTGTGCTCACATATATTTGTTAATCAGTATCATGAAATAGTAAAAATAAAGTTCTTACCTATTTCTTACTCTGAATGCATGTTTGTTAGAAATAAACAAATTGAAAAGTGCACATGCATAAATGGTATATGATAAGAGTGTGTGTCAAATAAGCATTAAGTCTGAGTGCTATCACCCTTCATGGTGCAAAGCACTGGACACCATCTATCTGACCACTGCTCTTCTCTTTGTGGACATGAGCATGGGCCATACATCCTGCCTTTACAAACTCTCTACATATAGCAAAACAACTGCATCCTTCTACCTGCCTCTCTGTGTGGCCACGTCTCCTCTACTGCCATGGACTCTCCTGGAAGACAGAGACTGTGGATGACCTGTATCCCCACAGCAGCAGCCCCATGCTGTGACAGCCTTGTAAGAGGGTTCCATGTTCCATGCAAGTCTCAGTTAAGTCTTCCCCACACCCCTGAATGTTAGCATCCCCATTTCACAAACCAATGTGCTGAGGCCAAGATAATATTAAATAATGGCACAAGGTCACACAGCGAGGAAGTGGCAGAGTTCAGGTTTACTCCTGAGTACCTGAGTACATCTGATTCCAAAGTGTCTGCTCATTTCAGTTATAGCAAGCTGCCCCCCTATAAATGTTCAATGTCACTTAATCAAAATAGAAATCAAAAACTTTTACAAGATTATGCTATGGGCTTTTATAGCAGATATGAATAGTAAGATACAGAACATATAGACATAATTAAAAGGAGCAGAGTAGAAGACAGTGTCTTTGGGAACCATCACTGAAAGATTCCCCACATTCCCAGAGACTGAGCATCCTCTGCTACAAACCTAATGAAAAAACTATCTTGACAGTAACAGAAGGATAAAGTCAGAGGAGGCTGACAGATCATCCATAAGTGATGTCAAAGGTTAGAAGTAGTTTCTAAAACCTCTGTTCAAGAGGGATGATATATGTATGTGAACAAAAGAAATAAAAACTAGGTTGAAACAGAAAGAACTCATCTCATGGGCATGTAGGTATTTTATTGAAAAATATTTCCCAAAGTCCTCACTTCTTCAGGCTACAAATATTGCCAGAAGCTAGCTTGTGACAAGTACGCGCCAGGAAGTCACAGGGGATGAAAACTATCTTTGCTACTCCTCAGAAAGTCCTTTGTAAGAGCTAAATTAGTAAGAAATGATATCTGTAAAAGAACTTACAGAATATTTCAAACAGCACATATATTTCTGTCACTATGAATAATAAATTGCTTAGTAACAAAAATAATTCTTTTCCTTTTGTCTGGTCTTTCTTGAGAGATCTAGTTATGTTCTAGCTGGCCTCAAACTCACTACACATCCCAGTGTGGCAGCAAATGCACAATCTTCCTGCCTCAGCCTCCCAGAGTGCTAGAATTATGGGCACACTTTTATAGTTGGCCAAACTTTCTTCAAGGAAAAAAAAAAAAAGAAAGAAAAAGAAAAGCACTAAAGAGCAGCCATTTTTTAATGTTTTATTCTTAAAACAGTGCATCTAAAACACAAACACACATATGAAGTAATACTATCTCCAAGTTTAAAGTAAAATGAATACCTAAATTTGAAAAATATGTTTTCTTTCCTGCATGTGAGGACTAAGAGTACAAATTAACTTTAATTTGGTTAGTATTCAGTCCAAAATTAGATCTATAAATGTGTATTTTTAAAAATGAAAAAACTACAATATTTCACGATATAGCTATAAAAAGTATTAAATTTACTCCTTAATTTTTATAAAATAACCCAAGAATTTATACAAGTTTCTTATAAATTTATAAGCTTTTTATAAATTTCATATAAAAGTGGGAGGCACGTAGAGGGATATACTAATCCTAAATTAGCTCTCAAAAGAGGCAAAATCTGAAAAGCGCTATGAAATTCAGTGTTACTTACCTTTATGGGATCGGAACTTTACAATCAGTACATACTGCTTTTGTAACAAAGTCGTTTAAAACACTATTTTAAAAGTATTAGTTAGAAATTAGCAATTTGAAGAAGAAAGGAAGACCCAACAGTTGGTCGCGTGTTCACACAGGACACACTGCTTACTCTGAGCCACTGAGCATCGGCGGTTCATGGCCGACTTCCTCGGCCTCTTTGCATGGAGGGTGCCTCGGCTTCACATTGGAGCTCACAGGGACGCCTGCTTCCGTGGGCTGTGGTGAGACCTGAGGGGCCAAGGTGCACCAAGCACCTAGCACTGTTTACCAAGCAGCCCATACTCAGGAAGGCAGGGATGGCTCCTGACACCTGCACTACACCCATCCCGGAAGAAAGGGAAGGAAAGGGTAATAAGCCAGGCCTCAGCACTTCTTCCCTTAAAAGATGAGACATGGTAGCCAGCGGTAGTGACGTACACCTGTAATCTCACCACTCTAAGAGGCTGAGGTAGGAGGATCACAAGGTCAAGCCCAGCCTGGGCAACTTAGTGACTTTAGTGAGACTCTGTCTCAAAATTTAAAAAAAAAAAAAAAAAATGGGCTGAGATGTGTGTGGCTCAGTATGAAGGACCTGGGTTCAATCCCCTGTCCTACCAAACAAACAAAAAAGATGATGCATGTCTATAAACAAAAATGACATCCTGAGTTTCAGGACAATTTAAATCTCCCTAGACTACTGAACATTCAAAGAGCAAGTGTCTCTCCCAAAGGGACACAGTTAAGGTATCTGCCCAAAGAACCGTTGCTCTCCCCCTGCTTGGCTTTGCTAGCCAAACTCAGGTGCGATGAATTACCTCCTTCACAGTATTAAAGACGGGTAAGCCCAGGTGCGGCTTGCCTCCTTTCCCTGGCGTGGTTCCGCCAACGAGTCTGGTGCCGTATTCCAAAGCCTGCTGGCTATGAAAGGTGCCCTGAGGGGAAAGCACAACACCTGTGAAAGGAAGCCGACTGGCCTGCACAGAGAACCAAAGGCAACCTTAGGATCACATGTGGCTTAACTATCTCAGGCAATACACTCGTCCAGCGTTCTCATTAACTTATTAAACAGCTGTGGACCGTGATGCAAAACAGAAACAGCCATTTAAAGTCTTCCTTCTCAAAAAAAAGTCTTCCTTCTCCAAGATGGTACATGTGGAGCCAAACAGTGCCTAAAGAAAAAACAAAACCTGCTAACCAGTCTCTTTGCATGGGGGTCAGCAACCTTCAACAAGTCTTGAACCTGCCCAGGCTGCTGGTTCACTTTCCCTCATCAACCGTAGCATGCAGGCAGGTTAGACACAATGCTTCTGGTAGGGGAGGTTACCCTGCCCTGAGTGGGACCAGCCTCTTCCATCAGGTGCCAGGTCTAAATCCTCCCCGAAACCCTTCCGGGTGTAAGAACCAAAACCGGCTCTAGGGACTGGAAGATTCTTTCTCACTAGCAGGCTGGGGCTCCGCTTCTCCTTGTCACCCCTCTTCTCTTTCTCTCACCTTAGACTTGCCTTTGCCATCTAAACGTGTGTGTGCCCTCGGTGCTAGCATTCTTATCCATGACCTTGTCATACACAACCCCTCGTACCTAGCCAAGACCTCAGCCTGGAACTCCATAGGCACAATGCCAATGGCCTACTTAACACCTCCCCTTTGAGAACTAGCAAGCACCCCAAACTCCACCTGATCACTCATCAGTCCACCCCATCTCAGTTAACGACACTTCATTCCTCCCAGATGTTCAGATCAAAGACACTGAAGTCATCCTGGATCCTTCTCTTGCTCTTCTATCCCATATCAGATCCATTAGTAAATCTTATGGCTCCGCCTTCAAAGCAATCAACAGCTTCTCCCCCATCTACTGCTAGCGACCCCCTAGGTCTAAGTCACCTCAACTCGTGATAAACTGTTGCCTTTGCCCCCTTTGAATCTCTTCTCTACAGCAGCCAGAGTGATTCTGTTAAAACACATGAGTGACAAAGATCGAGTCACTTCTCTGCTTGACTCTTCCAATCTTTTTCCACCTCAATCACATAAAATTCAAACTGGTTTACAAGTTGCCATGCAGCCTGTCTCGCCCGTGAGAACCCCGTCCCTGCCTGCTTATCTGAGTCCAGCCACACTCGCCTTGCTGCCTCCACACTCAGCTGGCACACGCCTGCCTGACGGCCTTGCTGAGCCTCCGGGCGGAACACAATTCCCCTAGCTAGACAGCGGGTGCACTGCCACACCTTCAGATCTTCACTCAGAAGTCCAGCTTCCCTAACAATGTGACACAGTGTCTCCCTCTCTTCTGTCCAGGACTCCACACATACTCTGACTGCTTTCCCTCATCTGTTTTTTCCATAGCAATTATACTTTCTAACACAGTACTTTTACTCGTGGATTTTTTTAAAGAAGTATTTCTTCTCCACTAAAAGGTGAATTCCATGAAAATAGTTATTTCTGTTTATTATCTGTTCAATGCAATATAGTACCTCAGTCAGTATGGTACCTACTTACAGGAAATAGGCCCTCAATACACAGTCTCTGAAAAATATAGGGTCTATGTGGTCATTCTCTATGGGGACCTAAAAAGGCTGGGTCAGCTTCTCAAGTTCTTAATTATCCAAAACTGGAGCCTTAAAAACATCAGAAAACTTCTAATTCAACTCCTTTTTCAATATGAGAAAGTTGGCCCCAACTATATTAAGTAACTGGTTTAAAGGCAGTGACAAGATTTTAGGGGGAAAAAAATGCCAGTGCTCTCTTAAAATAGTGCTGCTCAAAGTGTGGTCTGCAGATTGTTGCTACTCTGCAACAAGATGAAAGCAAAACAAAAGAAAATGAAAATGAAAAACAGAAAGAAAAAAACAAGACGAAGGAAGGGAGAAAAGAGGGGGTGAGTAAAGGAACAAAAACGCTAGTAAAAGACAATGCTTACAAATACGGCACTATGACGTTGCTGCAATTTTTACTGTATATTTACAAATTATGGACCTCCACTGGGTCAGAAATTAAAAACAAACATCCAGGCTGGCTTTCACTCCAGGTAGTTTGAGAAGACTTCCCTAGAGCACAATGCCAGGTAAATTCAAATGAACCAGTGTTTTTAGTCCTAATGTGGTGTTAAAACAAAGCAACACTTCCTCAAAATAAGCCTACTGTCCTCTGTTTTCCCATTTTCTCCAGTCACTACACAGCCGGAATAGGAACAATTTTAGCAACTCATGTGAGCTAGTAAAAGAAATCAGATGGCACCCACTGGAGATGTGTACTGCTGGAATCTACTTTGAAATATAAACCTTCCTCATTCGTATGTGTAACAATGTGTGCCCTGAAAAAAGAACTCATGTGACAAACTGCAGACTTCCTGCGGAAGGAAGGCTTTGATCTCAGGTCTTATCTGAATCAACAAATGTAACTGAGGCAATTAAGGCTCTCAAGTACTTTCAAACCCCAAAACAAGGAAGGCGAATAAGAAACAATTAGTTCACAGGAAAGTGAAACACACTGAAGGCAGGCTTGAATTTAAACAGTTCCAAACAGTGCTTATGCCACACACGGATGGTTGTAACAAAAAGCTCAGAAGTTAAAATATCATAGAATCACACAAAATTTAGCAAAGAGAAAAAATCATAACACACTTATATGAGAAATTTGGGTAACCAAGCATTTGATTATGTGCTCATATTAATATAGACAAAGCAGACAATGTAACTGGGGAGGGAGTGATAGAATATACTTCAAATCATGGATGTATATAGATACAAAACTTGTAAAGAACACATTACAGAAATATAAATATGTCTGTAGTGCAAGAAAAATGTGCCTGAGAGGACATATGCCAACTTATCAACAGGAAGAATGTTTGGTGAAGAGAATGGAAGGAAAGAAGAAAACAGGTTCTTATGCTGCATTATGTGTACAAGTGCATGCACCAGAGATACATTTAAGCTTATACAAAGTCTATGAAGTAAACAGGAGAGAGGGAGAACGTGAATGGGAATTAACATTCGTGAGGCAGATTGCCTGTGGGTCTCTTAAAAGGCCTTTGGCCACACAGCATATGCGATGGGAAAAGTCAAGGGCAGGTTCCTCCATCTGCCTCTGTGCATTTCTGGGCTTCTCCCGCTTAATGTGAATCCCATGTTCAGCAACAAATATTTGTACAAGACTGAGACACAAGCATCCACTTTATCTAGTGCTTAATCAGAGTACCAGTGACCCATACCAATTTGGAGGAAAACTGGTATATTTGCTGAAGAAAATAAGTGGGTGTCCAACAGAGTATTCTCCTGTGCATTTCCAGGTAAGATTAAACACACGTTTCCCTTGACAGGTTGAATATAGCATCTAACCTCTTCTTAGACACAACCTCATTGCTGTACAAAGTTTTTTCAACCATCGTTTATCACTACTTTGATGATACAAAAAGCAGAAAAGAATATTTTAAAGCTCTTTGGTTATACCTTAAAAATCTAGATACACATACCTGCTTACCAGTGAAACCCTGGCAAATAACCTTCGTACTTTTATCAACATAGAGGTGCTTCCGGGAAGCTGCATAGGAACAGTGTCGAATTCCATTCTGTTGCACTGAAAAGTAAAGAAAATGTGACATATTATAACTTTCCCAAACTTCTGAATAATGAATTCGACTTGGCAACCAAAAAAAAAAAAAAAAAAATCCTGTAACACAAAACCTATATGGGGACCATGGAAAATTTAAATATCAGTTTTTGTTTTTGTTTTCAGCCCCTAAGCATCACTTTTAAAATGAGATATAGACCACAGCAATAATCAGAAAAATAAGAAAGACCCTGCTCTACTCTCCAGGATCTTATCTTTTCTGAGAACCACAATCTTATAGTTTTTTCTGAACTGAGAAAAAAAGCTGAGGTTTATCATTTCTTTTCCTTAGAAAGAAAAACAGTTCAAAGACCAAACAGTTCAAATTAAACCCAGGGACTGGAAACTAGCTGCCATCCCCACCAATAATTATCAAACAGCCACATGAATTCCCCACCTGACTCAATTTTTTTAAAGTCCAATTCCTATAGTCAATAGTGAGCTAAGAGGCAAACTTTAGAAAATAAAGAATATGACTAATTCAACCAACTTGTATTTCAAAAACCAGAAGACAAACGTATGGCCACTGGGCTACTTTCTAACAGCACGGTAATACCACCAGTCTGTCTCATCTACACACCATCCCTGACCTCCTCAAAGTTGCCAAGCCTTCTACCAAGTACCATACCTAGCAGCTCCTGAAATAAACATCTCAGCACACATTCTCTCCGCCCCACCCCATGCCTTCTGACTCGAACCACTTGGAATCACTGTCTCCTCTGAGTCACTGCTTCCCAACTTTTTAGACCTCAGGTGCCACAACTGAAGGAGCGTCAGTAGCCTCACTGGCAGAGGTATTTCAAGTTCCCACACCTCTAGGGAAGAGAAAGGCCCAGATTTCACCCTTCCCATGAGGTGAGGCAATCTGTGTGCACACAGAACTGCTGTGCAGTGGACAGCTACATTCTGTGACTCTGCTCAGTAAGCACCGTGACAGGTACTGAGGTCACATCCTGGCACTATGGGTACAAGTAAACACCTGACCTTAGGCCCCAGCAGGGATTTCCAGCCTCAGAGATTCCCCCCAGGGAGTTGTGCTGGCACTCAAACACCATTCTGGCCCTTAGCTAACAGACAAACCGATGAAGGCCATAAACCAGTAACACAACTAGTAACAAATGGTAAATCAACATGCGATGAGATGTGCAACTTTAATTATGGGAAAATAAGCACTTAAATACTAGGGCAGAAGGCAGGCCTAAAGTTGGCCAACAGGAATATCCTGGTGGTGAGGGCTGTGGCCCCCATATACTTGACTTTTAGGTCCCAAGGAGCAGCTGAGAACAGTGTCTCAGGAGTCAGACAGGCCTGAGCTTGCTGTTACACCCTGCTGCTCCCCAGCGATGAGACACAGGCATCTCTCAATCCTCCTTAGCCTCAGCCTTTCCATCTGTAAATGGAATAGCAGTGCCCATAAGATGTGATGTTAATAGAGATGACAGCTGTAGATCAGGTATCAAAATAACCCTACATTCCCCAAATCCTACACAACTACAAAGGTAACTTTTTTCCTAGAAAAAAAATACATTTGATATTTCAAAACTCAAGTAAGTCCAGCCAGAACTGTTTCATATGTGTCCTCAGGCACACTCTAAATAGAGATGTTTATAAAGCCTACACATAATATGTAGCATGCACCAATATTTGTAAGCTGTTAACATGAAAAATTTATAAAGGTACAGCTTCACTGTAAAAATGGAAAGATAATATGTACCTCACTGGCTGATACAAGAATTAAATGACTTTTAAAACATATAACATATTGACGAGTACAATAACTGTTTTAGCACTAATAGCTATTTTATTATCAGTATCGTTACTGCGCAGAATAAACAGACTACACTGCTGAGAGATGGTCACTGTGGTAGGCTTACGAGAAAAAAAGATAGGCTCAGGCCCTACCGAAGCCCAAAAGTACAAACTGAAATAAAAAGGCTAAAAGACAGGGCCTGAGCAACCTGAAAGAGAAGGGCTTTTAACATCGGTGACAGGTTTGTATCAGTCAGCTACACACTGAGTCCTCTTTTCCATAGAAAGCAACTATACCATCTGTAAGATGGCCAGAGGGATTCAAGGTGCGATCTACATCCAGAGACCTGCCAAGTGGAACCCAGTCACCGCCCGGCATGATTACTTAGCACATTTCCAACCTGTAACCTGAGATGCTGTTCGTGACAATACTCTCTCTGAATTACCTCTTAACCTACATTGCTGCTACTCATTTATTCATGCATATATTCATGAATTTAAGAGATGAATACTTACAAACTATTATTAGTCCATTTTCTGGACTAGTACCTGAGGCTAACTACTCATAAAGAAAAGACCTTTTTTTAGCGCACAGACTAGAAGTATTCATCCTCTTTTAAGGGCTCCTGTCATAATATGGCAGACAGACAGAAGGAATACAGTCCCATGTAGAAAAGAATCAAGTGCACGGGTCAGTCTTGTTTCATAACAACCATCTCTCATGAGAATTCACTCCAAGAACTCACCCCAGAAGTCTAATACTAATCTCTTCTGAAAGTGAAACCCAGAATCCCCTCCTTTGGGTTCTACTACCTCTCAAAACTGTTACCCTTAGGACCAACCTACCTGCACATGAATCCACTTAAACATATCCAAACCAGAGCATTAACCCTAATGTAGTCCTCACCTATAGGATTTTAGAACACAGCAGAGTAGCTTAGCAACCATTTAATCCCCAAATCTCAAATAACCTGCTATTCAAATGTAAAACTACATATTCATTTAATATTGATAAATGTGTTCATTATTATTGACTTCACTGGTTATGTACTTTACTTCATCAAATCTAAAATACCACTAGTTTCTAAGAAGTACAACTAAGTGCTAATAAGAAAAAATTGCTGCCAATTCTTCTAAGGTATTAATTATCAAAACATTCTGGATCCTTAAAGGGCTCTGTGTTGGGGACTCAGGAGCCTAGGGTTCCCCCCATTCCCTGTCTTCCTCCTACTTTTTCCCAGCCTTGAGCAGCAAGGCTGATATCACACCAAAAACCAGAGGGCAAGGAGGCCAGAAGCACATGGCTGCACTTGGAGGGGCTACCTCCATCCTCCCAAAAAAATGTGTGACCCCAGCCCACTGTCCCAAGAGCCTGCACAGGGCACAAGGCTGCAGGGCCTCTTTCGGGTTCCCTTGTACAGCTCCACGCTCCTGATGCTCTTGGATATCCTGGATGTGGTCACTCAGTCTCCCACACACACACACTGATCCCTCCCTTGACCGAAGCCTCTGCTCATCCCCAAGCATGTAACACAGGTGGAAATGAACAGAGCTGGGTGACCTAAGACCTTCAAGAAGCAGCAGAAGGAGCCCTCTGGCCTTGTTCCCTGGCCATACCTTTACAGGCAGCACAGAAGGCCAGTGGAGCCCAGGTCCCCCGCTAGAGAAGCAAAGGGCTTCAGAGGTGGGGGTAAGGTTAAGGTCCCCAAGGAAGGGTCAGCCAGGAAGGCCCACCCCGCAGGGAAGATGCGGAGGGCGCCAGGGTGGGAGTCAGAAAAATGTTCATACAGAAGCCAGCATCCCCAGTTAGCCAGGAGTGAGGCACAGGTTGACTTTGATTGTAATCGCCTGAGGCCCAACTGCTTCTTCCATTTCCCTTCCTACCCTACTCACACTGTTCGTTCATTCATTCATCCATCCATGTAATTAAACATATTTACTGAGCACCTATTACAAGCTTTAACTGCCCCCCTCCACTTTCCCCTGACCTGGACTGTGTCCATCCTCTGGCTCTCTGGCTCACCTTTCCCTTTACAAGCTGCTTAAAACCTTGAGCCTCAGGATTGAAGTGGGCCACCTGTGTCTATTTTAGGGACTCAGGAGATTGCGGAGCCTCTATCTGCCCTCAGGTGCACTGGGCCCCCAATCGTTTCACTATGATGGCCCACAGGGGTTAAGTGTTTTGCCCAAGGTCAGGGGTTAATCTGAAGATGAAAGACCCTGTCCATGCCTCCTCTCTGCTCTGGGTGTCTTAGTCAATGTTGCAAGCAGGAAAGGAGGCAGAGGGCTACTTCCTGGGCCAGTACTCTGGAAGGCTTCCCTCACCCTGAAGACCATGGGCTTCCATGTCAGCATCAGGGCTGCATGAGGACCAGACTGGCTCTGTGTTCTGAACTTCCTACTGCTTCTAGGCTCTGCCTCAGGGTCCTGCCTGTCAGACCCCAGGCAGGGAAGTGTCACACAGTCCAGGTCCTTAATTGTGCCCTGAGGACACAGACACAGAAACACTCATTCCTTAAATATATTTTTAAGCTCCTGTTATAGGCCAAGAGCTCAGAACTTAGCAGTGAAATAGACAGCTCATGGAACTTACCATCCAGTGGGGAACAAAGACTCAATGACAGAAAGATGAATGTTAGCAAGGGGGGACCTTAGGGCAATTGTCTTAGGGCCTACCTTTGCAAAAACTTGTAGACAAGGCAATCCATTTAGGACCCCTTCTCCAGGAGCTATTCCTACTCCCCATTCCTATTCCCCAATACATTTTTCAATTCTAAAAAAAATGCCTTACGAACTGGGGGCCACTGGAGCCATAACAGGCTTCCTGTGGCCCTATAGTCAAGGGCCCACGGTATTGACCCAGTAGCTGCTTACAGGAGTAAAGCAGTTAGGGCATAAGGACATGGCCACATCACATTAACCCTCCGGTCTCAACCAGTTCTGTAGCAAGATCATTTGGGTATAACTCACTGATCTCAGTCTGCGAAGCTACACGCATTCCTCTCTATAAACCCAAAATCCTATCTACTCTCATCCATTTCCACTTTTGTGGTTTTCATTTTTGTTTTTTCTGAGACAGATTAGCAATTGCCTGCCTCTACCCCGTGCCCCGCCTCCTCTCTCTTTCTGGAGAAAGACAAACTTTTTTGTTTTTCATTCCCCATCCCAACTCAGCCAGACTCAGAAAGGAAGGCAGAACCAACCAGGCTTACTTCAGTGGGTTCCACAGTTTGAGACTACAGGAAGGAGAGCGAACAGAAAAAGTGTTCTCTAACCAAGTGGGTGAGAGGAAACCCTATCAGACCCTTCCCCAGTTCTTGGAACTCAGCCCTAGGGAGACAGGGGTCTCAAGTGTGGACACCGGACATGGATGGGGATCCCTGCACATTTCAGGTTGCGCTGCTGGTGCCAGGTCTCACGCTCCAGCTAAGGGCTCAGCTTCTTGGAGCTTAACTATTTTCTTTCAGGAAAAGACTAAATCTAACTAAGATACAGAACAACATGGGGACTGCTAGTGTAGTTTTGTTCCTGTGATTCACAAGGAAAGTTTGTCTGGCAAATTCAGGCAACCGAAGTTATCCGCGTGTAAGTGCAAAGAAGCATGTGGGGTGGGGTATCATCTCCACAGATTGAAATAAACCAGACACACTTTTTAAAAAAAACTTGAATTGCTTATATTTCTTAAAATAACTTCACTGTTTCAACCTCAAACCTGTATATAAATACTTAAACCTTCTCATGTGCTTGCTTTTATTTAAAAAAATCAATATTGCAACATTTGTGACCTCAGCACATAATGTACCATCAACTGAAACTTAGCAGAACAGAGGGGACAAAATTCTCTAGCATCTCTAGTGATTTTAGCCTCAAAGCTTAAATAATTTGTGAGCACTTTAAAAAATTTTTTGCAAGATGATGTTGTGTGTGTTTTCTCAGTGAGTGAAAATGGGCTTAGAAATGCAGCATAAAAAATGATTTAGAGGTTTGCCAACTTGAGAGATTTTTTTTAATACATTAAACACTGCCATCTGTACGCCCAGTTCTAATATAATAAATATCTTGGTTCGAATCTTAGACTTCTTAGTCTTTGTAACAGATTAATCACCTGACTTGGGATAATTCAAGACCACTCCAGCAATAGAAAGCTAAACTAATGCTCTCCTCTATCTTGGAGCCTAAGAAGAAAGCATGTCACTCTTGTGAGAAGAGGACTGTTAAGTACTTTTAAGAGTGGATAAAACAACCAGATCTCTTAGATGCTCTCCCTTTCTTCTCTCAGACCAGAAGCTAGGATCTTTCAGAAACTCAGACAAGTAAAACTTCAGAAGAGAAAGACACCAAGTGTGAAACTCCTTCCTGCACTTTCTCAGCACAGTGGCCCTGCTGCCAATCTGATCTTCCACATCTTAACCATCACTCTTTTTAAATTAAGCTGAATTAAGCTCATACTCAAAATTTCCTCCATCCTTGCGCTCAAACTCTACTGACTAGAGTGACCGTGGGTACAACTAACACTTTTTTCCTCCTTCTGTCTACAACATCTTGAACTGCCCTTTAAATTACACAGGAAGAGTCTTCAGAAAAATATCACAAACAAATCCAACTTTTTCCTACTTGCCAAAATTATCTAGCAAGACCTTTGTCCCACAATGACAACTATGGTAACTATGTGACGATATTGAGTACACACTTACTTTTAGAACTTAATCTTCTCAAGAAAGGAATTAAATCCAACAAATATTTGAATCAAGCAGAGTTAGAAGCAAAGTGGAAACAAGGAAGAGAGAAAAATGTATAGTTGAATATATATTATGTAATTACTTATTGATTCACTTAATCTGCACAATGAACTCAAGCCCTTCTGTATACCATCATTTCTAACATGTGTTTTTCACTTTTTAACATGTCTTAAATCATGATTTGACAACCAATCACACATCGCAATTTTAATTAACAGTGGATTCCTTTGTTAATGCTAGACAAGATAAGGGTGCACTTTATAGGTGATGGTACCTCAGATTCATTAAAACATGGTATTATTTTCGTGAAATTTGAAACATTAAGAAATGGAGCCAGATAAAAGACTGGGATTATTACAAAGTAAAGGAACCAGCCAGATTTCAAATCCTGATGGGACTGATTCCAAACTTTCTTCCTACTATAACTTACCTAGTAAACTCATGAGACTTTGACCATAATAAGAATTTTCAAGAGTCAGCGTTATTCAAAGACTAGCAACTTGAATGGTAAGATTTCAGCAACTGGAGTGTTCACACCGCCTGGATTTGACATTGTAAATAAGTGGGTTAGGTCCCAGCCAAGGTTAAGCTTTGCTTCTAGGAGTTTACAAGGCCACATTGACTTTGAATGCAGAAACTGCCTTTCATTTGCGTCTGAACTTACATTCACAGATGAGACGAATCGAAAAGGAGGGCCCTGCTGTATAAGATACACCCTCTTCCCCAACCTCTCAACACACTCATCCCCCAGGTGAGTTCATCCTGCACCTTTCCGCCCCTTGCTCCATATAGATTCTCGACGTCACTCCCTCCTACCCCGCCACTTGACACCGCGAGTACAACGGAATGTTCTCAGCTCTGCAAAGTTCCCAGACCGGAATCTTGGCTTGGCCACCTCACGTCCCCATCCGCCAACGACCCACGCATCCAGCAAAGCTCCCTCTCCCCCTGAAAGCTGCACTTGAGGTCCGGGCCCCGCTGTTCAGTAGCCCCGCCAGCTGCTTCCTTGAAGAGCCTAACCGCGCCCTGGGCCAAGGTGTTGGGCCCAGTGGGTCCAGGTACTCGCGGAGGCCGAGAAGACAAGAGTCCCAGCCCGACTCACGGAAAAAGGTGCGCGACAAAAGGCGGGCGGCGGCCAGGCCGTTGCTGCCGGACACCATGGTCGCGGTGGCAGCTGCGGCGGCAAGGGCTGCGGTCATCCCCCAATGACACTCCGAAGCCCCGGGGTCCTGGCAGGAGCCGACGCATGAAGAGCAGGGTGGCCAGAGCCGGCGCCTGAACAAATTCCTCTCCGCGGGAGGCCACTTCACCGGACTTTCGGAGTCACAGGCAAGAAAACAAGAGCTACCCTGTCGGAGTAATAGATAATAACTCGATTCTTCCTATAAATGTGACTTTGGATAACCGTATTTGTAATGGCAGTTTAGAGACTCCCCAGCGAGCCTGGTCGGCGCACTGCATTATGGGAAATGTAGTTTTGTGGCTTCCGATTTAGCGTTTTAAGTAGAAGCTTATGGTTAAGCAGCTAAGGGTAGGTAGGAACCCAATGCAGGAGGTGGAGGTGTGAAGCTTCGAGTGAAGGAACCGCGAGAAGAGATGCAAAGAGAAACTCCATATCTAGACCGACCTTGTGCATCTTCTTTTTCTTCGGCTGCACATGAAGAGGATAATGCCTCAAGGCTTACCTGTGCGAGGACCGGGAAGAATTGCCCATGATAACAAGGAATCTGAACTCACGTTAGTGGAGGACGAGATCAGAAAGACCAAAACTTACATTACGGACACTTGTTTCCTAAAGTGTGAATCTGTTGGTTAAACCAACTAGCAAACTTAAGTATATGAGTGCTTGTCCTTTAAGGCTTCTAAGGACTAAAATTCAAGACCAGATATAATTTTGTCCTGTTAGCCAAACTGTCGCTCCTCTTTGAGCTTTAGAAGAAACCTCAGAATCCCTGGTAAACAATAAATTAATGTACTTCCCTCAATGAAACGGTGCTCCTGAGATACTGTATCAATGAAATTCTAATCCTAATCTACCAAAAGTCATTATAATTTGCACAAATTATATGATAGATATGTGATTGATAAATGGAATTGTCAAAGGAGTTTTCCCAATATTTCCAAGATATTGTCCCCCCCAACTGAATTTGACTGTAAACAAACCCCTCCCTTATCTGTCTAGTAGATCCTGTCCTGATAATTACTTAAACAGTAACAGTGGGGTCCACATAGGTCCAGGATGAAGGCTTATTTTAAATAATAAAATTCTTTTTGGGCTTTCACTTTATAATAATTACAATTAGTTTCATTTAATTGGTGAAATACATGGTGCAAAATACAATTTCAGTAGGACCTCAATGACCTTTTTTTTCACAAGACAGGGATTTTAGTTTCTGATACATCCCTAGCACCTAGAATTATACCTACCCCCAAAGGAGAGCTCATTATGTACTGAACTAATACATAGGAAAAACAGAAGTGTATACACTATTTATTAAATACACAGTGTGTGATGGGCTGAAAATACTTCAATCCCTTGTAACAGCTACAGCTCACCCTAATTCTATCACTCATAGGTAAGAGGTAATTGTAGTAGCAAACACATCACTCATTATTTGCAGACTGAGTTTTGGAATCAGTTATGGATTTAGTTTCCAATTTGGCCACAAGCGATATAAACTCTAGGTTTTAGGTTTTGTCACTGAAGTGGGAATGGAAGACTTTATTTCAGAGGATTGTATAAACAGTTAACACATTTAGTATGTAATGCTCTTGATAACTTGTAAGTCATATTGGTTATATTGGAGATGAGGACTTTTCTTTACATGCTGGATGATGTCTTGAAGATTTTAAGTAATGTGAATAAGCAGATGCAGAATAGGGCATTTCCATTTGTTTCAAAACCTTTGGCTAACCCTCTAAAGGTAACAGGCCTTAAATACCTCCACATCCATTCCAGCAGCTCCCTCACTCCAGAGTTTGATAAAAAGTGACTAATGGATCCTCCACTTACAACCAGCCTCACATATGAGCAACCTGGGTTATGAGCAGAATTTTAGGTTTAATTTACAACCAAAGTCTTGAGTAACGACTCACATGCCAGCCACTTGTGCAGTTGTAAACCGTCCTGTGATGCCAGAAAAGTTGTGCATGAGTGTGTGTAAGCATCAGCTTGAGCCTAGATTCCTGATGTTCTTATGTAAGGGATTCTCCTTCCAAATAATAACCACCTTCCATTTTCCATTTCACCCTCCCTTCCTGCAAACCAAAGATAGCAACTTGAATGGGGAGTACATTATGAAATGGTTGTTTTGGTGAAATGGGCATATTTTGTAACTTTTTGGTGAATATATTAGGAAAATTATTGGTGTTTCTGGTAAATTACACACTTTATACAGCCCTTTTTTATTCTGAAAAGGTTAGTTAAGGGTTGCTTTTGATACAGAAGAATGAAACTCCTGACCTACCATATCAATGAGTTCATGTTCTCTAAAATCGAAGAACGAATTTTAGGAGTGAAGCACAAGTGGATAAGAGGAGGGAGAGTTAACAAGGAGGGAAAAGAAAACAGACCTTGACCCTTTCACAGATGCAGGTTGTAGAGACAAAGATCACACCAGATCTGAGAAAGAAGGAAGGGCTTAAACTAGATACAAGGGTCAAGTTTTTAATTGGGTCAAATGGAACAGAAAAAGAGAAAGCCAGAAAGTTTGAGAGTCTGGTGGACTTTCTGCTTGATAAGGAATTTGGGCTCCTTATATATAAAAGAAGTCACTGCTCTTCATCTTTTTGGGGGCTCTTTTATATGAGCCCAAATTCTCCCAGAATTTCAGATCCTTTGCCTTTCACCAGAGTTTTGTCTAAATCCCTGGAGTATTGCTAAAGTAAGATGAATGCAGTGTAGCAGCATTTGGTCCTCAGCCTTGTTAGTGTCTCCTGATACGTACATCTTTCCATCTGGCTCTGACCGCTGTGTCATCCCTTCCCCTTGCAAGGCTCCTTTTGGTCTGGCTCTCTCAGTTACCTGGGTTCTTCAGCATATGAGACCCTTTCACCCTCAAAACCACAAGAAACATCCCTGCTAATCCAGACTTGCCACTTCCCCGAATCTTTCCTACTGCTTCATGGACCCTTACAATTCTAATAGTTCTTCTGACTACTTGTGTTATAGGCAGCTGAGAGAGATAGAAATATTAGAGGCAGTCACACAGGGCTGGCCCCTCAAAGGAGCCATTACAGAAGATGAGATACCTTGCAACTGTGGGGGAGACAGACACTTCTGCTGTGAACCAAACCTCAAGAAAAAAGATAAATCAAAAATGTACCCACATACTCCCTAAGGATAAACATTAGGAACTGATATTCTAACTATATCTGTATCACCTGAGGAAGCCAGGAATCACCATCACAATCCCCTCCCGGAAGAGACACTGCTCTTTAAGCATGCCTAATTACTACATAACTGGCTTCCCCATTTGTCCCTGATTTAATCAATGTTACCTGAGTAATTAACCTTATTGGTTGACCATAGTTCTGTCCCACTTCATGAACCACCTTAGGAGTTCCCATTTTTTCTCCACCTTGGACCTGCCCTCACCTTGGGATTTTACTCTATAAAACCCTAAAAAAGACAGGGTCCTTGGCAACCCACTCGGGACCCTTCCTGTCTCTCAGACAGAAGCTTTCTTTCTCTCAGTAAATATGTTCTACACTTAACCTCCATTGTTACTAAAATTCATTCTTTGATTTTAGCGAACATGAACTCTTACCAGACATCTAGTAAGTTGGGAGTTTCATCCACCTATATCACTTGGAAATCCCTCCAAGATCATTGGATAGAGTTAAGGGTTTGCTTTTCTTTCATAGACTCTGGACTAGGGCTCATTTATGTAACAAATTTTTATGCTTTGATTTTTTATGTCTTTTCCCATTGCTTATAATTGCTTATGCTTTGTCACAGTTTTGTTAAAATGATATATCTAAGTTAAACATGGGAAGTTTATAAGGTTTTATTCTTGTGTTTGCTGCATTTAAACTAGTTACTAAATTCACTGGCACTCCTTGATTGACTCTAGATAATAGCACTAGAGAAAGTAACATTAGAAAGCCCGGAGTAGACGTTTACATAAACTTCTGTAAAAGGGGACTTCTTAAATAAAAGTCTAGCTCAGACTTAGAAAATACACATGCCATGAAACACAGAACTCTGACCACCATTTAAACAGCACTAGACGGTGGCCAGTTTTAAGACTTGGAGCACAGATTTCACTGAGACAGACTGGCTCTGATCCTCCTGTATACTCTGGAGGAAATGTCAAGCCTGTTCTACTTTGGTTTCCTTTCGTTGGCCTTATTTCTAATCTTTTCCCCTACTTTGTACTTTCATTTTTAGAGACACATAAAATTGGAAAAACTCTAGACTGTTCCAACCTTTTCTTTCTACTTAGTCCAAAGAAAGTGACTATTTGTTAACACCAAAGACAAGGAAGTCATCTTAGATGAGAGACACATACCCTGTCTCTGGGTCAGATGACATATTGGAATTTTGCCCGTCCAGGAGAACACACATAAAAACATTTCCCAGCTTAGTGTTCTGTACAAGTCTCCCTCAGGAGACTGAACCTGAGACACTGGAAAAAACTGACTTCTGGGTGAAACCAGAAGGAGCTATTTCCAAAAGCAGCACACTTACAGGACCAAAACACCTTTAGACTAAGGGAGGCTTTCCAACCCTTTATTTATGTGTAAGAAAATACTCTGATGATAAGTTGTGGACTTTAAAACCTTTATTGTATATTCGTAGAGCTATAGGTAATGCTCTTGCTCAGGTTTATAACTATCCCTTTTAGAATTCTGACAATCAGTGGTTACTCTGCCAGCTAATTAATCACTCCTACAGCAGCTGCCACTCTTAAAGCAGAGGACAGGTTTCCACAGCACCGCTTTGGTGAATCCCCATGGAAGCCAGTGGCCAATGGAATGTTGACCATGGACAGCTGGATTTCTTTCTGGAGACTGACCTCTGGTTGTCTGAGCCAACAGGAACTGAGCATTGATGCCCTCCAGGGCAACCCTCTGGTGTATACCCAAAGGCTCCTCAGTGGAAACTGCTACATGATCACAGAAAATCTCCACTTACTTATCTATGTATCGTATATCTCTCTGCTAGTAAATTAAAAATGTCCCCTAAACTTTTCAGGCAATTAGACTACCTCTCCTTTCAGAAAATTAGGCAGAGGCAACTTACAACAACTTTTCAC